ATAAATTACTTAAAATCAATAGTTTACATAATTATTAAACAAAATAAAGAAACAAAAAACTTTTAAGAAAAACTGTAATTTATAATTAGCTTAAAAAATTATAGTATAATATTATTACACTAATTTTAAAATAGTTAAAAATAGTAACCGTTTTTGTAAGTAATATATATTATTTTTTAAAAAATAACAAATACATTTTATTAGTAATCAATTAAATCAAATATTTTAAGATTAAAAATTATATAATTTAATAAATTTGATTATTGTAAAGTGTTAATATTTTAATTTTTTTGTTAAGATATTTTATTATTTATTATTATATTATTATTAATTTATTATAAAATTATGAAACTATTACAGTTTAATATTAGTTTAGCAAAATAATTAACAATTCCATTGTTTTTTAAAATCTTATTATTTTAAATTAATTAAAAAAATTATTTAAAAAACAATTGAATTAAAAAAACAAATATCATTTTTCTAATTTAATTATAGTTATTATTAACCTAATTATCATTAAATGAAACTAATCATAAATTACAGTTTTTGATTAAACGAATATTATTTTTTATTTTAATAAAAAATAAAAATATTATTACATATATATAATTTAGATTTAATTTATGTGTCAAACATTCAAAACAGTATAAAATTGTTGGCCATTAATACTTTTAGTTTATTAGACTTAATGATTGTTTGTCTTATTTTATTTTTTGATAAATAAATTTCAAATTAATTATTAATATTTTATTATATATATAAATATAAATTTTACATTATATTGCTAAATTAATTATATTAAAATTAAAAAACTGTAATTTTTAATAATTAAATGTAGAATAGATTGAATACTATAAAAAATAATATTAATTGTAGTTTTCATTCGTAATAATTTAAAGTTCTAGCTTTTAGTGTAAAATAATCAATATATTGAATAAATTTTTAAAGTATTTTTAAAATAAAATTATTATTAGTGCTGTAAATTATTAGAAATGCATTTAGTATTAATAATATTTTTAAAAAACACAATAAATAATAATGTTAACTATTTTATATTTAAAGGAATTATATATAATTTTTTTTAGAATTTATATAATTAATTTTAATTAAATACTAATTTTTATGCGATTATTTTATTATTAATTGTTTGTTTTTTTAATATCAATAGCCAATTTATTACAATACAATGTCCTATAATAAATAAATTTTTCAAAAGTTTATAAAATTAATTTATATTAATAATTATTTTTTTAATAAATATATCAAAATAAGATTTATATAGAATTATACCTGTATTTATTAATTGAAATATAAAATTATTAATATTATTAAAGTGCTAATAATTTTGAAAAAATAAATTTTAACTATTAATATTTTTTGCTATTTATTTGTAAAATAAAATTTATATTCTAAGTTATTAATAGAAATTATTAGTAATATTTTTATTTAAAAAAAATAAAATTAGGAATCAATTACAGTTTAATATTAGTTTAACAAATTAATTAACAGTAAATTGCTTTTATATTTAGATAAAATCCATTTAAAAAATCAATTTAATTTAAATGTTTAAATATTCAAAAAAAACTTGAAAAGTTTTGTTTACTGAAATCTATAATGACTTTTTGAGTCTGTCTGTCTGTGTGTGTGTCGCATATTTTTTTTGCGAATTTTGAAATTCTGACTTCAGATTCAGTTAGAGGACTACTAATAATGTATTGAAAAGTTGCATTAAAATTTTGATATCTCTTCGGGAACATAGACAAAATGGCGGCGAAAGATAAAAAATTTTAGGTAAAATTTTTTATCGTTTAAAATTGTATAGAGCATAAAAAATAAGATATAAGATAGATCAAAATTATAATTTTATTTTTTCAAAAAATGGCGGCAAAAAATGATTATAGTTTGTTATAGTAAATCATTTGATACCACACATGAGTAGTTGTTTATTTTGTCATACTGAATCATTTTATACCCTACATGACTAAAGTTGAATTTATTTTGTCATACCGAGTCATTTGATACACTATAAAACAATATTTAAATTATGTAAATTTGACCAGCTTTTAAATTTTTATATGTTACTCTATAGCCGCTATAATTATACAAACTAATGGTTTCAGTGCTATTCAAGTTTTTTTCTAAAAATGCTTTCTAACATTCTTAACTGGTTTGTTCTCTATTCTAATTTTAGTTATTATTAACTTAATAATTAATAAATATTATTATATATAAATTACAGCCTTTGATTAAAACAATATTGCTATATATATTTATTTTAATAAAAAACATAAAAATATTATTATTATTATTATTATATAAAACTTAAATTTAATTTTTGTTTGTTGCATAAATTTAATTTAAGTTATATATAATAATAATAATAATAATCATAACTATAATTAGATTAAGAGACGAAATATTTAAATATTTAAATTCAATTGTTTTTTTAAATAGATTTTATGATTATTTTAAAAGAAGTTTATAAATGGCTTTTATAGATCAAATTAAATTATCATTAGTTTTTATTATTATTGAATGTTAAACTGTAATACTAAAATAATATTATAATTTTTATTGAATATTAAATTATTATTTTTTTAATTTAGGGGAAGCAAATAAGAGTTTTTTTTAAAAAAAATCTTTTATTATATTTTAATTTACAGGTAATTATTATTACAGTTATATATTTACATTATTGTATGCTTTATTTTTTGAACTAAACCCAATAGACTTAAATTGTTTGTATAGTTTTTGTTGTTGTTGTTGTAAAATAGCATTTAAAATATTTTTATTTATTAAAAAAAATACTCAGAAAAAATATACTGTATTAGTTGGAAAACATTTTTTTTTTAAAATCAAAATTAAATAAATTACAGTTTATTAAAAAAAAAACAATAGTTATATTTGGATTAAAACTAATAAATTAGTTAATAAATTAAGCAAAAAAAATATTTTTGCTCAGATATTTTAAATTATTTTTTAAAAATCATTTTTTTTTGTAAAATCAAAAATAAAAATACTCATAAATCCTATTATTAATTTTGACTTTTAAATTTAAAATTATTTTAATTAAATATTATTAAAAGTTAATTTTTACAATTATCTATTTTAGTTTTAAAAAAATGATATTTAGTCATTACAATATTATACTATTAATGTTAAACTGTAATAAAAAAAATAAAATACTAAATAATAATTATTAAATGATATAATTTGATATCTTTCAAACACTAAATATTGTAAAATATTTTTAGTATTCAATAAAAATAATAAAATTTTGTTAGTTTTACAGTTTAAAATTGATATTGCATAAAAATTGAAAAACATTTAGTTTTATTAAAATAATAAAAAAATTAAATAAAGAAATTATGATATTTTAAAATTTAATTTAAATAGTATTAATTCAACCTTTATTTATTTTTGTTCTTGATGATATAAAAATTTTGAACTAGTTGAAAGATTTAAAAAAAAAATTTTAACTAATAAATATATATATTTTTAAATTATTTATTAAATAGTAAATATTTTTAATTGCTAATATGATATTATAACTTAAATTTTGTTAAATTGTTGTTATTTAATATTATAACAGACTCATAGATTTATATTATATAATATTTATTTAAAAAATTAAAAAAATTATTCGGTATTAAGCTTTGAAACTAAATTTAATTTTTTTAAAATTAATATATTATTTTTATTTTAAATAACTCACATTTTACTGTTTTTTTAATTATATAAAAAATTATATATTGTTTTATTTTTTTGTGACTATTTTATTGTTATTACTTGTAAAATTATAATATTAAATTTATTTTATTTGACAACTCTATAAACTATTGATTTTAATTTATTAATAAAAAATATTTTATTATCATATATAATTAAAATATAAATAATTAATAACTAATTATATATATAAAATATATATATTATATAAATGTTTATGTATATATATATATATATATATATATATATATATATATATATATATATATTTAAATATTCATTATTTTTTTATAATATTTAACTAATATAGTAAAAACATTTTAATTAAATTATATTTTACAATTAAAAATAATAATAATAATTATTATTATTATTTAAAAAAATAATCATCTAAATGCAAGTGAATTTATTGAAGAAATTTAATTTGAATATTTTTAGTAATTTTTAATAATTTATACTGGTATGTTTAATTAATTAATTTGTTTTCTTTGAAAAAATAAATATTATTAACTAAAACTTAAACTTAACTTAAAAAATTTGAAACTAAGACAAAAATGTAAGTTTTTTTAGAAAAACATTACACTATTATAGTTATGAAATTATTTTTATTTTAGTTTAATATCAATAAATTAGTTTTAATCAATATTTTTTTAAAAAAATAATCTAGCTTTAATTAAGTAGTCACATAAAAAGAGCAAACAGGGGGTAAAATTGATAAAGGGGGCAAACGGTGCCAGTAAGGTTAAAGTTATAATTAGCTAATTAGTTATAAATATCTATTGAATTGATATTTTAAAACTTTTAATAATCTACCGTACATTTATAAATAAATTATCAATTATTTAAACATATATTTGTCTAATCTATTGTCTAACATAATTATCTATTTTAATTAATAATTCAAGTAATAATAAATATAATATGATAATTATATAAAATTATTTTTAAAAAAAAATATTGCGAAAGATAATATACAATAATTATTTATATAAAAATTCTGATATATATATATTATCAAACAAGGATATTAATATTATTTAATTATATGAAATTAAATGATTAAATTTAAATAATACTAATAATAATAAACCACTTAAAGATAAATATACTCATTTTTTCAAAAATAAAAATATTATCTAGAGTAGCTTGAAATTACATAACCGATTAATATTTTGTATATAAGTTAACTATAATTTACTATATATTTTAAATTAATATATTTTTCATTACTAGTATACTTTGCTAAAAAAATAATACTAAAGTTAAATATTTATTTTTTTTAAATAAAAATGTTATTAATTCAATTTATAGCATTTTTATTTATTTTGCAATATGCAGTAGCTGAAAAGTAAGCTAAATTATTAATATTATTTTTTTAATTTAAATTAGTTAATATTTAATTTTAATATTAATTAATATAAATTTTTTAATCAATATAATTTTTTTAATCAATAATATTTTTTCAATTAATATTATAATATTTATTTTTTATTTTTTTTAATTAGGGCTCAATATTCTATACTAGCACCCAAAGTCCTACAACCGCAATCACAATACAATATCATAGTATCGTTGAATAATTATGTGGGCCAGTCAAACATAACGTGCGAATTGTTTAACCAACTCAAAGGTTTTAAGGTATCGAAAATATCGCACTTTGATGAACACCATATGGTTCAGGTAATGGACCTGCAGTCGGGTGCCAATTGGCCAGAAGGTCAATACGATTTAACAATCACATCAACGGATGGCCTGATTCAAGAAAAAACAATTGTCCAATATAATTATAAATTGTTTGTCATCATGGTACAAACTGATAAGGCTATCTATAAGCCGGGTCAGGATGTCCAATTACGGGTAGTCATACTTGATAATTTGTTAAAACCGGTTAACCCGGAATTAATCAGAGATTTGCGCATATTTATACTGGTAAGTTTATTTATTTTATTTTTTTTAAAAAATTAAATAATATCACTATATTTTTAAATAATATTAATAATAAATTTTTCGCAAATTATATAGGATCCTCAAAAAGTACCGTTATTGGAAATGAGACGAGTACATATTTATTTTAATATTTATAAAAAAATTTAATTATTTGTTAAAAAAAATTAATCAAATTTTTTTTAAATTAAATATTTATCTTAAAAGGATCTAGGTTCTAGTACTAAAGATCAGCAACTGTACAATGTCAATATGTTTAACTATACCAATGGTGTTACCGATGATATTAAATTTAATTTGCACGACGCAAGCAAACCGGGTGAATGGACTATACAAGTGGCAACACATGGTCAATTGGAAAACTATACGTTTTTTGTTGACTACTATACCCTACCCATGGCCAACGTTACCATCACGTTGCCCGAGTATGTTAAATTTGATCGACCAGTGTTGAACTATAGTGTCGATGTTTTCTATACGTTCGGCAAACCAGTCGACGGTTATGTACTGGTTGAAATTGACAAGATTAGAGAGTGCGGTAAATTAGTCACGACCGATCCCGATAGAGTGTTTCACGCTAATTGGACAATCGAGCATGGTCAGATTAAGGGTTCAGTTGATTTGAAACAAACCAAACTACTGTTTAGCAATAATTGTCCGGAACTAACATTGAACTTATCGGCCAAAGCCTACGATAATAATACTGATAATTGGTATTTTAATTTCGATGTTTTCGATGCTATTGAATCGGAAATCAAAGCTGAAGTTCAAGATAAACAGTATACGTATAGACCGGGTAAACCTATTACTAAAAAGGTGTGTATTTATGTTTTTTATTAAATATTATACTAAATAAATAAATACTTTAAATCTATAGAGTAAAAGCTAAAGTTTTATATTATATATATATATATATATATAGAAACAAGCACTATTATTAAGTTAGTGTATATCTTATTAGATAATCTTAATTTTTATACATATTAGATATACGTATTAGATATTAATTAATTAATTAATAAAATATCTAAATAAATGATAAAAAAATTACTATAACTTTATTTTTACTAACAATATAATAGTATAGTTTTAGAAGTGATTTAGGCACTTTTTTTTCTAACAAAAATTTTAATTTATGTTGCTATCTAATATCTAAGTTGTAATCATATCTGCACACACATAGTATGTGAACATAAAAAAAATTTGTTTACAAATACAAATGTATTTTTTAGATATTATTAAAAACTAGAAATGGCGATGCCTTAGATGAAGATATTGTAAAAAATTATGAATGTAAAGTCGATTATAAAACCAAAACAAATTCAACTTATACGGATGGGGTTGTTACAGATATAATACCCAGTAGAGGTATGATTACGTGTATGATAATTACCGGACCAGACTATAAGGAAATGCGTATCCGATTGCGTAATCGAAAAAGCAATAAATTTATAGTTGAAAATAATATTGAATTTTTAAAAGACTGTGCAACCGATACAATTCAAATACATATGCAGGTAATTATTATTATAAATATTATTATTATTAAATTTTTTACTATACTAATTTATTTTAATGATTACTATATTTTTTAAATAGGAAGCAACTAAAACTGTAAACATAAATGACCAAGTAGCATTGATTGTTCAATCAACACAATCCATTGAAGAGTTTATTTATTATGTTGTAATACGCGGAACAATTGTCGACACACAATACAAAAAAGCAATTGGCAAAGACACGTACCAGTTTTTTCTGGACATTACCCGCGAAATGGTTCCCGAAGTATTGGTAGCCGTATTTATGAAACTACCCGGGTCACCAGTCATTATATCCGACGCTGTACACATATATGTGAATGGTACATTTCACAATCAAGTCCAGTTTGATGTTAAAACACCAGTAGTCGATGCCGGCAAAAAAGCACAGATGGTTGTCAGTGCCGAATCGGAATCCAAGTTGTTTTTTCTGGCCATCGATACGGCCGTATTGGCCCTGAAACAGGGTAACGACTTGTCATCGGTACGCGTATTGAACAATTTGAAAACCAATGCCCAATACAAATACGATACGGATAGTTTTCTATCTAGTGGTATGCAATTTTTGACTAACGGTGCCAAAGAGTGTAAAGATTCAAAACTGGTTGATAAAATTGAGCGTGATGATGACGATGATGATGAAGATCATTCGGTAAATCCGAAAACCAATAATGCTATTCGAAAAAATTTCCGGGAAGTATGGATATGGGATCGTATTGATATGTATGTTTTATTTTTTTTCAACTATATTTAAATTGTTTAATTATACAGTATAGATATACACATCAATATCTATACCACTATATAATTTTGGGAAATGTTTGTATAATATTTATGTCACGCGCAAACAATTACTTTTAATGCTTTGAGTGATTATAAATAATTTTTTATTTATTAAATAACTAGTTAGTTCCACCTAATAAAATGTGTATCAATAGTTAGCGCGTGCAACAATACTTATTAGTTTATTATAAAAAGTATATTTTATTTAATAAATTTAAATTATTAATAATCGCGCGACACATTAAATTTAATTGTTTGCGTGACACAAATTTGCTACAATCATTGAACAAATTATATAGTAGTATAGATAAATATATTGTATTTAATACACTGTAATTATAGATAGAATCAATTAGTAAATTAAATTTTAACAATTTAAATTTATTTATTTATTTATTATTATTTTTTTTGGATGATAAAGAGCTCATGGCAAATCTAGAGTCGGTATCAAATCAACGGTTCCCGATAGTATAACTTCATGGAAAGTAACGGCATTTGCATTGCACGCCGAAAAAGGACTCGGATTGACTACTCAACCTGGTTACGTATGTATACTGTAGTTACTATGTTTAATAATATATTAATTATTAATAATATTAATATACAGATATATTGTAAAATTTTAAATATAAAATTATGTTTTTTCTTTAAAAAAAATTAGATAACTGTATTTCGACCGTTTTTCCTAAAATTAAATCTACCATATTCGGTTAGACGTAACGAAACCAGCGAATTTCATGTTACAATGTTTAACTATAAAAACGAAACTGTTGATGTTACATTGAATGTCTATCAAAATAGTAGCGACAAACATAAAACAATGATACAGATTGATAATTGTAAAAATTTGAAACAAAAATTACAGCCTGGTCAAATCAAATCGATAACATGTTATGCAAAATCTAATGGTGTTGGTCAATTTGATTTAGTTGCCGAAGCTAGCGGTACTAGTGAACTATCCGACGATAAAGTAGCCGATGGTGAGCTCCGGCAGCTAAAAGTTATCTACGAAGGTATAACTGTTGATAAACATGTTGTCGTCGATTTGTTAATGTTTGAACAGGATGTTAACAAAATTAGTACATCCGTAAAATCGGTATTACCCGCGGATCGGGTAATTGGTTCGGAATTATTGTTGATGACAGCAACCACTGAATTGTTGACCAGTCAATGGAACGATCGGTTGGAGAAATTGGAATCCGATTATAGTATGAAATTTGATTTTAGTAAACCTGAAGGTTGTTGTCAGCAACGTATCAATCGTGGTTTTCCAAAAGTATTCTGGCTAGATTATGCTAAAGCAACCAATAGGACGACTCCCGATATGGAAAACCAGGCTGTAGCCGATATACAATTCACGTTGAGTTTATTGTGTTGGCATGTTGATTATGATGGATCGTTTGTTTACTACGAACAATGTATTTATGTATATTAATATTTTTAAAAAATATTTTTTTTAACAGTATAATTATAATTAAAATAAAAAAAATCTATACAGATAATGCCAATTAAAAGTTAAATTTTAAAGTAATATATTGTATAGTTAACTTTAGGCTTAGCAGGGTAACTTAGTTATTACATTACCTTAACATTAGATAATGTATATATATACAGTACCTTGCTAAAGCATAATATTACACAAATTTAAACTTTTTAGTTACTTTAATACAATAATTTTTTATAAATAGATAATCCCGGTTCGAAAATGGATAATGTAGTACTAGATAAACGTAATCCGTTTCTATGGCAAACAGCTTATACATTACAATTTATGACACACGTTAGCAAATACACGTTGGTATCGGAAAAATCACTGAAAGATGTCAAAAATTGGCTAAAATCTGTACAGAAAGCTAGTGGCGAATACATTGAAACCTATGCCGATCACGATATAATGTCCACGAAAACCAATGCCTACCTAACAGCTTACGTACATAAAACAATGTTGGAAGCGGGCGAAATTAATCCGCCAGCGGATAAATATTTGACCGAAGTTTTCGACACACTAACCGATCCGTTAGACATGATATCGACGTGTCTAGTGTTGAACAAAATCAGGGCTAAAAATATGGACGTATGTAACGAGAAATTAGATAAACTAATGCAACGTGATGCTACCGGTGCTTATTGGTCAAATGCACGTGGACAACCCGATTTATATGTAACAGCATTTGGTTTGATGATGCTAACGGAACGTCAACAAAAATCCCGGGCAATGGATGTATTTAAATATATAATTTCAAAACAAAAACATGATGGTAATTTCCAATATGGCGGCCGGGAACAAGATTCATTGGTAACCGTAACATGTATGGAAGCGTTGACCAAATTTCATCAAATGTTAAAAACATATGAACGATTCAAAGAAAATGTATTTGTTACATTTGAGCTGAACGGGAATAAACAGGAAATACATTTACTACCCGATAGTCCCGTAATGCAAGTTGTCGAGGGTGACCCACTAGTCAATGAAATCGGTATTGTAGCGGAAGGTTTTGGCAATGCTAAGGCAACACTGATGTATCAATACAATACAATGTCCATATCGGACGGTGCATTCAATATATCAATTGATCATACTCGACACAATGATAAATATGTTATATTGCATATTTGTACCAAGTGTGTTTTAATAATTTTTTTTAGAAATTTATTTTAATTTACATGCTAATTTTGTTTTAAAATTATTTTTTAAAAATAAATATTTAGCCACAAAGAAACTGGTCGATCCACTTCGAACAATATAATTGAAATTGATTTGCCAACTGGTTTTCATTACCATGCTGAAAAATTCGTATGGAATAAAGATATTGTCGACAAAATTGAAGCCAAAGAGGGCGACACAGAAATTCATGTTTATATTAAACAAGTAAATTAAATTAGATATTTTTTTTATATTTAATTTTGACTAAAATTATTATTTTTTTTAAAAAAAGTTAACAAGCTCACAATTGTGTATTGATATACCGACAATCGAAAGCTACAATACTATCGATAGATATGCCGTTCCCGTCAAAGTCTATCACTATTACGATAGAAATACAATGAGTGTCGAAACTTACGATGTTTAACATGGAAAAAATCAAAATAATTAAATAAAAAATTATTAAAAATTACTAAAAAAATTTCAACTATTTAAAATATTTTCAATAAATTTATTTGCATTTATCTATGATTTATTTTTATTTAATTTGTAAATTTACTTACTATTTTTTTTAGAAAATAATGTTATTGCTAAAATATTAGAATGCAATAATTACTGTATGGTTTATAACTATAGTTAAATTTATTGTAAAGTTAAGAATATTAAATAAATTAAATTATGTTAGTATTACAGTTTAATTACATTAATATTGCTTTAAAAAAAATTATGAAAATTTTATAAAAATTGTAAACTTAAATAAATAAAACATTTTTTATTTATACTTTACTATTTAAATTGAATTTAACAATAAAATTAATATAAATTGTATATATTTTGAGGCGCTAGATATTTATTTTAGTTATTAATTATATAAATCTATGTTTTTAAAAAAACATTTATCAAATTTGATTTAATAATATAAAATACTTTATGTATTTTTATAAATAATTACAAATTTTATATGATAAAAATATTTCGAATTAATTTATTTATTTATAATTATATTAAAATTTAAATGCATTTAACTTACAATTAATATAAATTTTTAAGCTAAACCTAACCAATAGATTATCATTTGAACAGTTATTATCAAAGTTATAACAATCGAACAGTTTATCAATGTGTTAATTAATAAAAATTAATTTAATAAAAAATTTTCTATATTTTTTTAATGTAAATATATTTTTATGCATTGCAAACAGTTTTACGTAGATTATATTTAGCATCCGGATCATATTTGATTATTGATTGTTATGTATGGAACTGTTAAAATTAATTAAAAAAATTATTTAATATATAATAAATATAAAATAGTAAAAATGAAAGTTATAAGGAATGACTAACTAAATATTATTATAATATTAAAAATATTTTTACAAAATATATAAAACATTTACAGTTTTTATATTAATTTAGAAATTAAATAATTAATTAATTCATATTATAATTAATCAGAATTGCCTTCTTACTAATAATTGTAGTTTTATTTATTTTTAAAAAAAACTAATCAAAACATAGTAATAAATATTTTATTGATATTAAACTAAAAATTAATTTCATTACAATAATAGTGTAATGTTTTTTTTTGTAAATTTTATTTAAGTATTTTTGTCTTATTTTCTAATTTCAAATATCATTATTTAGTTTTTAAAAAAATTATAAGAAGTTGTAGTATGAAATTCATACTATGAATACAATAAAAAAAACTTTTTTAAAAATGTTTTTTTTCTTTTATTTATTTTAAAAAAACATTATTTTAATTATTATATGTTATTATTGTTTCTTACTCTATGTTATATAAAAATATAATCAACAAAAAACAATTGTTTGACAGTTTTATACATAAAAAACATAAATTTTATTATTACTAATAATAATAGGTATACCGTACTAATTATCAAATATTATAATTTATATATAAAAAATAGTTTTAATAATAACTATATTATTAAATTATATTACATTATTAGTACAATTATTTTTAAAAAATAATTAATTGTAAAATTTTAATTGTATTATAAAAAATTAATTCAAAAGTTAAATATAGTTTTAGAAATAACTTTATAACATTATTAAATTATCATTAAAATAGACAAAAACTTTTGAAGTTAAAAAAAACTAATTATAAAATCTAAATTAAAATCATATATAAAAAGATATTTATATAATATTAGATACAGTTTATATTGATATTGAAAAACAATAATCAATGCTATTACTAAACAAATATATTTAATTAATAAAAAATAAATTAGTTTATATATTAGTAAAACTTAATTTTTACAGTTTCTTGTTTCTAACTTTTTTTTAAAAAAAAAATATTTAATATCTATTTTTTTTTTAAATTTATACAACAATTTATACAGTATTTTAATTATATACATTAGTATTATTATTAAGTATATAAATATAATTAATTTAAAAATAATATATAGAGTACTTGATTGAGAAGTCTAATTAAAATAAGTTAAAGTATAATTATAATTAAAAAATTTACTAATAAAACAAAATTTACAGTTTTATACAATTTAATAATTAAATTTGTTAAAATACACAAATAATTAAAATATCAATTTATAATTATTATTATTAATTAATTTTTTTTTGTTAGTAATTACGTTTTATTGAGATACTAACTTTCAAATTTATTATACAATAATAGTTAGTACTATAGAAACTTATTATATGATTTATTGTCCTTTAAAATTAAATAAAACTTATATTTAAAAAAAAATATTTTTTTTAATTTAAAATATAATTTTTTACCCAAAAATGTTTTTTAAACGTAAAATATAATCAGTACTCGGATTAAATTGATTATTAAATGCTATTATGTTTGTGAAATGTTAATTAATATTAAAAAATAAATTAGTTTTGTCAATGGTATTATCTAATTAATATAAAAATTTAGTTATATATCATTAAATAGTTATTTAATTATTAAACATTTACAGTTTTGATATTACTAGTATTAATAAAAATTGTAAGTTATCAATAATTAATAATAATAATAAAAATAAACTCGTGATAACCCCACTTCCCTTACAATATCTAAAAATTACATAAGTTAAAATAAATAAACATATTTGAAATTTCTTTATTTATTTTATTATAATTAAAGTTAAAATTTTAAAAATTAATAGATATTTTTGCAAACTTCAATTTTGCCAAACAATCTAACCATTAGATCAGCATTTGAACAGTTATTATCAAAATTATAACAATTGGACGGTTTATCATTCTGTGAATTAATAAAAATTTATATTTTATATATTTTTTAAAAATGTAAAAAATTAAAATTAATTATATACCCCAAATGCATTGCAAACAGTTTTACGTAGATTATATTCAGCACCCGAATCATATTGATTATTGATTGTTATGTACGGAACTGTTAAAATTAATAATTAATAAAATTTATAACATATTTATAAAATTAATATATAATATAAAATTTAAATCTAATAATAAAAAATTTTTAGATATATTTTCACAAAATATTGTAATTATAAAAACATTTACAGTTTTTTAATATTAATTTAGAAAAAATTTAGAAATATTTAATGCATATGATAAGTAATCATAAATTCGGCGATGACTTAATTGCCCACCACGCCCCCCACGCCCCCCTCGCCCCCCACAAAATATTTTTTTAAAACTTTGTTTTTTATGCCCACCACGCCGCGGGTGGGGGTCATGGAAAAAAAATTTTTAATAAAATATTTTGTGGGGGGCGAGGGGGGCGTGGTGGGCAATTAAGTCATCGCCCATAAATTCTACTACAAGTAAAACATTATTTTATCCTAAATTTTTTTTAATAGTTATCCGCTGTTAGTATTTATTATTATTATTATCATTGTTAATTAAAAAAATTATTTTACCATTAATCAATTTAGGTGACAAATTATCGGTCAATTGTTTCATCTGATCCAACAATGGATTACTTATATCCCGTTCCTCAGCGCATCGGATCAGTTGCCAACCATTGACTGGCCATCCGATAGTAGGATTGTGTACGCAATCAATGGCAGCACTTATTGGATATTTAGACCAATCCTTATGACTAGTTGTACACCAAATCATATTAAATATTACATCACTGGATATGTAAGTTTGGTTGACAATACAGGCCTTAATGTAAAGTAATTTATAATTAAATTAATTTTTTTAAAAAACACTTAAAATGATATAATAAATATTATGATGAATAGTATAGAAAACTTATATATTAATTAATAATTAAAATATATAATATAATATAAATAAAAATTTATAATATACCGAAATCGAATATATTAATCTTTTTATAAAATTTTTTAAAAAAATATATTTTAAAAAATATATTTTTTACTATTAGTTAGTATTAATTCAAAATTATTATTTATACTACTAGTAGTAATAGTACTATATTTTACTAAATAAGATAATGATAATAAAAATAAATAAAATATATTAAATACCTGTAATCTTGTGGCCAAACAATTAATACTACTATTGTATTCATTAAGGCACTGGTAGTTGTAATCATTGGATATGTTATTCAAACCCCAGGGTATAAACTGAACCGTTAGTCTACTATTGTTAGTAGTGTTTACTACTAAATCATAGATAGTATTTTGATAATCCAATCCGTTATTTAAGGATGAAATAAATTCAATTGATTTCCGATTATTTGGCGAATAATAGACGCCAACTGAAACACCGGTAGTATTGGGTGACGGAAAGGGTGTACTACTGGTGTCGACAGGAGGTGTTGGTGTATAGGGAGTGGTACTTAAAATTGGTTTTCGGTAACAAACAGATGGTCTATTAATCTATAGAAAAAAAACAATTATATTAATAATAAATAACAATAATTAAGTTAAAATAAAATTGTGTGTTAATTATGTATAAAAATATGTATAAAAGTTTATATAAATTATTTATTTTTTTAAATATAATTATATAGATATTTAGATTTAAAAAAATTAAATTATAATAAAAAACAGTATTTTATCATGTGTTAAATTTAATTTATATTGTTTAAAAATATATATAAAATAATTAGTTTTAAATCTAAAAAAAATAATAATTAATAAAAACAATTATAATAATAATAGTTATATTAATAATAATTTAACTTTTGTTTTTTTTAAATTAAACAATACATACACCAAATTCTTTGCAAACAATTTCACGCAAATTATATACAGCTTCCGTATAACGTATGCCATTGACAACAACAACAGGAACTGTATGTTTGATTTAAAAACATAATTAGCTTTACATTCATAATAATTATAATAATAATACTAACTGTCCTCATATGTTATCCTTGGGTCTAATGCCAATGTTTTAACTCGCATTTCATCTAAATATTGGGCACTATGTAGGACATCCTTAGCACAAACAATAACACCGACCCCATCATCGGGCAGGTGGTCATTGATTTGTGCGGCACACTGTATAACAGCACGGTTAGGATTGGTCAACCAATACGGGTGTTTGGTTGTACACAATACCATTAGAAAAATGTGACGATTTTCAACGATTGTATTATGATGTCCGACTAGACAAGCCTACAAATTTTTTTTATATAATAATAATAATTAAATAAATAAATTTTAATTTAAAAAATTAAAATTATTGTTAGAAAATGTATATTAATATTTTTTGTAAAATTTTTTTATAAACAAAAAAATTATTTAATTTTTAAAAAATAAATAAATATCTTATTATAAACTAAAATTTATAATTTAATTAAATTATAAGATATTAAATTTATATATATAGAAATTAAAATTATTTAAAAATTAAAAACTTGTTACACATTTGTGTTTATATACATATATATATATAATTCATAAATAATATATATATTAGTTAATAATTTAAAAATATTTTAATATAAATAAAATAACATAATTACGTACATGTAGTTTATGTGCCAAACAATTAGGATCATCGATACCGCAATTATAGATTGGAGGACTGGCACCATTGGTAGTAGACACACCCCACGGTATATAATCGACTTCAAGTTCCGGTCCAGACCCGTTAGCGCCGGTTATCATCAGATCGTAAATACCGGTCGGACTGTCTTTGCTTTGGTCGGACACAAAATCAATGGCTTTCGGATTATACGGTGAATAATAGACTTCAACTATCACTTTACTACAAGCTATGGGTACGTCCGGCTATTAATTATTATTATTAATATTAAATAGATATTTTTAACAAAAAAAGTATACTCTAATAAATTATATAATAATTTTAGTAGCCAAACATTAAACATTTTACTATAATAATAATTAATAATAATTAATAATAATTAATAATAATTAATAATAATTAATAATAATTAATAATAATTAATAATAATTAATAATAATTAATAATAATTAATAATAATTAATAATAATTAATAATAATTAATAATAATTAATAATAATTAATAATAATTAATAATAATTAATAATAATTAATAATAATTAATAATAATTAATAATAATTAATAATAATTAATAATAATTAATAATAATTAATAATACTAATCTAATACATACACCCAATTTGTTGCAAACAACTTTCTTTAAGTCTACTACTGCTTCGGTATTACGTTCGCCATCGATATAGACAACAGGAACTACAGTTATACAAAACAACAACATAATTAGCTAACAAATAATAGCAATCAATTAAAATCTTACTGTTCGTCTCTATTAACGGTGGATTCAACGCCAATGTTTTAACTCGCATTTCATCTAAATATTGACCACTCCTTACGTTATCTTTGGCACAGATAACAAATTGTTGGCCATCATCGGGTATATCGTTGACTTGTAGGGCACACATTGTAATAGCACGGGTAGGATTGGTCAACCAGTCAGGGTGTTTGGTAGTACACAATATCATAAGGAATTCATGATGATTTTGTAGGCTAGCATCATGATGTCGGACCAAACAGGCCTATCAATTACAATATATATTTATTTATATACAAGTTCTATATATATATACAGTTTATATATATATATTATATTAAATATTAATAATATATATATTATTTTTGAAAACAAATAAATGCATTTAAATATATATATATATATTCCAAACACATGTAAATTTATTAAAATAATAATTTATGTTTATAATTTAAAATAATTTTAATAATAAAATATTTTTATTTACATGTAGTTTATGTGCAAAACAATTTGGATCACTATTACCACAGTTATAGACTGATGGAATAGTGGTATCATCTCTAGTGGATACACCCCACGGTATATAATCGACTTCCAGTTCCACTGTCGACCCATCCGATTGCGGTATCATTAGATCATAAATACCGGTCCGACTATCCCTATGTTGTTTGGCTATAAATTCAATGGCTTTCTGATTGTATGGCGAATAGTATATTTCAACCTGTATTTTACAAAATAATTTTTTTTAAATTATATAAATATATTACTAAAAATTTTATTAATTTTTTTTACATATAAAATATTATTTTTAAACACCTTAGTAATACATAGTATTCCCTGTATTAATAAAGACAATATAATTATTATTATATTTGCATACATTATATTATTAATTTGTTATATATATATTTATGTATATATATATTAAATTAAAATATTTAAAAAAAACACCATAAAAAATATTAAAACGCATTCAAAAAAAAAATAAATGTATTTAAAAACTAAAACTTAATATTTATATAGATTTTTTAGTGTAATAAACTTTTTTGGTATAATTATTATCATTTAAATAATAAATAAATATAACTGTCAACTTTTTTTTGTTTTGTTTTATACATTTAATTTGTTTCTATTAATTTCAATTACATTAATGTTATATTGAAATCATTATATAATATTTTTTTTTGATTAAATTTTATTATTCAATAAAATATTACAATATTGTTATGAAGATAAAAACATTTCAGCTATTTCATATTTTTTTATTTATTTCATTTTTACTGATTAATACAGTATTAACTGACTGAAAAAAAACTATTTGTATTTTTTTTATTAATAATAAATTATGTAATAAAAATCAAAACATTTTTATTATACAAATAATATAACTTATCAGTAAAAATATATTTTATAAAGTGGTTTAAAAATTTATTTATTTAGAGATTAAAATATAATTTAATACACTACAATTACTGTTTGTATGAATTTATAAATTTTTCATATTATAGTTATTAGTTATTAGAAAATAAAATCATAATTATAACTGTAATAATATTTATAAAATTAATTTAGAAATTAGAAATATAATAATTATCATTTCTAAATATAATATACTTAATATGGATCTGTTAATTATTAAATTAAAAAAATAATAATATAATTAAAAATTTTTAAGTAAATATTAAGTAGACAAAAATTTTAGTTTAATTTTAATTTTTGTGATGGCTTAACCTAAATATATTTTTTGTTAATATTATAATAAAAATAAAATTCAATTATTAAACACTTATTACAGTTTAATAATAATAATAATTTAGTTAACATTAACTTACTAATTAACTTTTTGTTTTTTATTCAATGAAAATTAATTAAAAAAAAACATTTATCCACAAAATAATAAATATCATAATAAACAAATATTTGTTTCTAATAATAATATATCACTTTGTAATAATTTATTTATATTACAGTTTTTAGTCATTAAATATATAAATTATTAATAATTTCTTATATAGTAATTCTATATTTATTATTATTATTAATATTTGTTATATAAATGATATATTTATAACACAAATATAATTATTTTAAAAATAATAAATATTATTATAATAGATGTAATAATAATATAACAATTATTATGATAATACCTGAAAATCAATATTACTATCATTAAGGCTCTGGTTATTGGATTTTATTAGTAAAACCCTCAGTGTATGAACTAATCCAATTGACTTGAATTGTTTGTATAGTTGTTAGCATTTAAATAGTTTTTTATACATAAAAATAATAAACTTAGAAAAAAAAACTTTATTACTTGGAAAATATTTTTATAAAATCTAAATTAAATATACTTAAATAAAAAAAATGTTAAAAACAATCTATTAAAAACAATAGTAATATTTGAATTAAAATTAATAAATTGAGCAAAAATATTTTATAATAGCTCAGATATTTTGAATTATTTTTTTTAAATCATTTTTTATTTGTGCAATAAATGCGAATGATTATAAAAACATTTATAAATGCTAATATCTATTAAATTTAAAATTTAAATTATTTTCATTAAATATTATTAAAAATTAATATTTACAGTTTACTGGTTTATTTAAAAAAAATGGTAATGTTAAATGTTTTCAATATCATACTATATTATAAAATATTATACAACAATATTTAAAGTGAATATATTGTTAATATTGTAAATATTAAGTATATTTAATTAAGTTTAAAAATATAATTAATTATAAAAAAAATAGATAACTTGACTGAATAAACAAGCTAAATTAGTATAAAATTAATTATTAATTAAAAAATTATAAATAAAACTTATTAGAAGTTTTACTTCTATACAAAATTATTACACAATATTAATTATTAATAGATAATGGTAAAACTTAACAATACATAATTTACTAAAAAATATTGATACCATATTACATTATTTCTAACAATAATTAATTTTTCTTAAAATAAATATTTATATTATTTATCATTTAAAAAAAATTATTGTAGAGTTAAAAAAAACTTAAATAAATTATTAAAATACAAGTTTACCACAAATAAATTGAAAAATAAAACTTTTTTACGTTAATATAATTATATTTAACATTTTGGTTAATATTAATTAGTATATTATTATGCAATAAAATGTTAATTTATGTTAAACTGTAAGAAAAAAAATATAATATTATTTCACTTTTGTTTTTAGCTAAAGAATATAAAATATTATTTAGTATTCAATAAAAATAATAAATTTTATGTTAGTTTTACAGTTTAACAGTAATATTGCATAAAAATAGAAAACAATTAGCTTTTATAAAAATCATAAACAATTTTTGAATTGTTATTAATTTACTTTGTTTATTAACAAACTAAATTTTAATAATATTATAATTACAAATAATATTGAATAAACATTTGAAAATAGAAAATAATATTATTATTAAAATATTAATTCAAATACAGTTATAATAGATTTTTTTTTAATTAAAATAAATAAAACTAGATTAAGAATTAATTATTATTAATAAGCTCAACATGATAATAGTAAATTTATTTAAATTAAAAATTTATAAGCTAAAAATCTACTAAAATGTAGTATTATTTTTTAATATATATAAATAAAATAATTAATAATAATATTTTATTTATTAATTATTTAGTTGTAATTATATAAAAATAATTAATTCTGTATATAAAAAACATTTTAAAGTAGTTTAAAATTTTAAAAGAAAATTCAGTTTAAATGTTTGCAAACTTGAATTTTGCGAAACAATTTGACCATTAAGTTAGCATTTGAACAGTTATTTGTATTATAATATTGATATTATAATAATCTTTATTAATTAATTATAATCTTTTACTAGTATATATATATAAAACAATCAGCTATAGAATTAAAATTGTTTAAGTTATAAATTAATGAATTATTTTTAATTACTTTTATTTTATTTAACTAAAATCAAATTATGCAAATTAAAATTTTTAGATAATTTATAATTTTTGCAATAAAAATTATCATTACAGATATTATGTATTTATTTTTAGATATATATATAGTTAATTATTTTTTTAGTTATTTATAATATTAAAAATATTTTTCTAAAAATTTGTCATCCTCTTCTACATCTTCCTAAATATAAAAAGATTTTAGTAATATATTAAAAATAACTATATTATTATAAAACTTTTACAGTTTTGATATTATCATAAAATTACTTTATTTAATTTACTTAATTATTATTTTATCTTATATTAAAGTACTCATGATAAATATATAATAAATTTGCTACAATTAACTAAAGCATTTTTATGATTTTAATATAACTAATTGTTTTCTATTTTTATGCTATATTTATGCTAAACTGTAAAACTAAAATAATTTTTAATATTTTTATAGAATACTAATGTGTCCAACCGAAAAATTAAAAGATTTAAAAATATATATAAAAAATAATTATTTAATAAATTAAAAATTTACAGTTTGGTATTACTAGTTTAATAAAAACTAGATAAAGTTATCTAGACAAAATAAAAAGTATTATATTAACATATAATATAAAATATTAGAGTATTAGGAATTTATTTGAAAAAAAATTATTTATTTATTATTATAATATACTATATATATAACTAATGTTTAAAATACAAATATTACTAATATTTTAATTAATTATACTAATAATAGTAATTAATACAAAACTTGTTATCTTATTGCCAAACAATTGATAGACTGATTAATATTATTATAATATTTTATTTATCATTTTGTAAAAATTATTGATTTTTTAAATATATATATAAATTATATATATTATAAAATATATATATATATATTATAGTATTTTTAATTTCAATATATCATACTATATGTAAAAACTAGAAACTTTTCTAGAAAATTAGTATAATATTTCTAATCATTGCTATAATAAATGCTACTTATTATTAAAAAAAATTTATTAATCTGGAACTGTTAAATTAAAAATTAATTAAAAAATAACATTATTTTATAAATATATATTTAAGTAAATATAAAATAATATAAATGGATTATTTAAATTTTGAACTACTTTTTATTAAAATATTAGAAATATCTTAATAAAATAATGAAATTATAAAACATTTACAGTTGTTTGTAAAAATTATAATATTATTTAAAGATATAATTTTTTGTTTAACTTTTAATATTGTAATTTTTTTTAATAAATTAAACAAAATAATTTAGCTCAGATAATTTTATTTAATTTTTAATCATATTTTTTTAGTTAAATCAATACGAATGATTATTATCACTCATCAGTGCTATTATTAATAAATTAAATTTTTAATTTAAATTATTTTACTTAAATAACATTAAAAATTATTTTTTACAGTTAGTTGTGTATTATTCAATAAAAAAATATTTAAGTCCATGACTTATGTTAAAATGTAATAAAAATATAAAAATAAATTATTAATTATATGTTATGCACGACTCTATTTAATTAAAAATTTTGTTTAATAATTAATAAAAATAATAAATTTATGTTAGTTTTACAGTTCATCATTAAAATTTTAACTTTAATTTTATTAAAATCATAAAATTGTTGCTAATAGTTATCTATTAAAAACCAGATTTCAATAATATTTTAAATTACAAATAACATTTGAATAAACAAATAAACTAGATTAATTTTAAATTGTTTAAAAAAATTTTGTATTTTTTTTTTATTTATTTAAATATAATTCAATACATTGCAATTACTGTATATGTATTTATAAATTTTGATAATATAATTTTTTTAGTTGTTATAAATGTAACTGTAAAAAATTAAATGATAATTATAATAATGTTATAATAATATTATAATATAACAA